GTTTCTTTAATTGTTTATCTCCCAGAAAACGGCAGACCATTTGGCACTTGCAGTATATTCTTTTCTTTCTTTTTTCACTGGCAAAGTATAAGCACCTACTGTTTCACAGGAGAATTCAAAATTACTCTTTCTTTACAACATGGACTGTGCCTTTAGGCTCCTTTATATTGCAGGAACAAAGCTATCCAGTGCAAGCAGAAAGCCATGATAAAACTGCAGCATTTGCTGAAACGATGCGAACGCTAGATGGAAATGTTGAAAATTCAATGGTACGAATAATAGTTCGAATTCTGTAGCTTGGTTCTGATTATTGCCGCTGATGGATACATTTTTGAGGTATCCGTGGACCGTCGAAGTAGCACTACAATTTGTTCTTATAATGAGTCCCTTAACGAGGCGAATATAACAAGAAGAGATGTTTCCATCATGGTCAGCTGTCGATTCTACATGAATTCATTTTTTTTTCAAGTAGAGTTACAACATCTGAAAATGAATTTATTTTAGCAAATAGGAAGCAGATTTCGGCCATCCACTTCATCACGTGACGATACGATCTTGTCGCTTCGATCATTACGTGATGAAACTATTTGTCTGAGTGAAAGGATAATGTTTGATTCGCAATCACTGCAGGTCTATATTTTTTCTGAAATATTTCTATATTTATAGCGAACCACATCTATAGCTTTGTTTATTATTTTCTACTTTTTCGATAGTTTTGTCCTTGTAGGTGAAATATTTGGATCCTGCTGATGATCAACCGCAGAGCAATTTGATTCGTGAGGAAATTTTGAGCGATTTGCAACGGAAATTGATTGAAGTCAGAGAGAAGTGAGTTTCTAAAAACCCTTACTATTTGAATCGGCAAAAGTCTATTCGTATCGATTTTCAGTTCCGCTGCTGAGATCAACGAGATGCTGCCTAAACTACATGCAGTTGACCCTACCAAGGCTGCTGCTGTGAAAAACATGGATATGAGAGCTGTAATATTTCATTTTTTTGTTCTTGTCGTTTCTGGGAATTGGAATTGAGATTGTTGTAAGGAAGAGCTCAAAATACTGAAAGCAACACCCCCAGCAGAAGTCGTGTCGAAGAATCTACTTCAGCCGGTCTTATAGAGTAGCTCACGAGTATCTAGATAGGCCGCTGCCACAGCTCGAAAGTGCTTGGGTCTTTCAAAGTCACTTTTGGCAACTATTCTTAGCAGTCGGACGAGTCACGCCGCGCAAATCCCATACCGCAGTGTAGATTACCACTTAGCG